CTTCATTAGAATATAAACTCTCCAGAATGACTATCAGGGCCTAACAACACACACATAAGATATTTTTTTGGAAAACAACATTAACATTAAGGTTACTTACTAATATTTCATGGACAAGGCAAAGGTTGATAAGACTACCATCTTAAAAGTTAAAACTAAAAATTCTCGGTAGCGTATACGAAAGAAAAATATCATGAAAGTAACTCATAAATAGCAAGTAATACAGTAATATTATTTATGTTTATAGATTAACATTAATGACTGGGTATAATTTCTAATTTATCATAGCTTAAATCTTGTGACCATATTATTGAGGATAACAATTACTACCCTTATGGCGGGAACTCCGGGTATACTACTCGCTCGAGTTTTGATTAAATTGTATAGGCATTTTCAAAAATATCGTGTGCTTAACAATTTAAAATAAGAAGGCGTGGTACTTATTTGAAATAAAAAAAGTTTGTATAGTTAAAGCACATTACTTAAATTACATACAACACCTAGGTTTTTGAAAATATTATGTTCTTTTAAAGTTTACTTAAAAATTCAAAAATCAAAATGTGTGTAGGTAAATGCATTTTTAATTAAAAAAATGTGAGCGAACAATGAGCACTAATAGTATATCATAAGATATTTGTAGATGGTATGCTAGGTTAGGTAATACGACACAACATAGACAAATTAAAACATACATTTTTGTCAAATAAAACAAGATTTATTTGATTCGTTTTCAACACCAAACAACATAATATAATATATAAAGCTGGTAATTGGTATATAATATATAGTCAACCAGAAGCACACCAAAACGTACAATATATTTTTTGGATATAACAATATATTACGTGTAAGTATATGGAAATACCCACTGCGTAGTATTTTGTATGAAACCGCTTAATTGAAAACAGAAAACAAAAATAGTTATCGTAATAAGTTACGTCTTAATACGTTAACACCGACTTGAAATCACAAATAAAACACGGTAAAATGTCATGATATGTGAACAAAGTAGTTGTTTAACGTAGGTATCATAAAATATTTGAAATTTGAATGGTATATAATTTTGATAATTCAATAGTAATTGCAATTAAATATTCGGCCGGTTTAATAAAATATATTAAAAAAAAATTACAAATCCTTAACAATTATGAGTATACTATTATATTTTTAAATATATTTTATAGTAAGTATATAATGTAAAAGAATATCAGTGTACCGAGAATACTCGCTGACAAAAAAAAAAAAAAATTAAATTAATTACGTCACACTGAAAAGGTAAAGTTTTAAAGAAAACGATAACGAATAATTTCTCCCATAAATCTTTTGGTCGTGAAAACCTCACGCTTATTTCATAATATATACGCACACCTCACATATAATAGTATACCTACCTATTTTTATTTATTATTAAATTACAAATGGAGGCTGCAGCAGTGGCGTCTGTCCTCAAAAAATATGTTACGAGCAGATAATAATGTCACTATCACCCGATATATCCAGCGATGGGCCATAGTTGGAAAAAAAAATGATTTACAATAATGTGTTTACGTTATAACGTCAGTGGGGTACTCTGCGGGAAAAAAAGAAAACGAAGGTTTGGTCGAAACACGGTTTTGGTTATTTAGTATGATATTCTCGGGCAGAAAGTTCAAGATATTATTCCGTATATGCAGTTCTGTTCGAGTTTACGCTACGTTGGCGGAAGTATGTTGGGCACTCGGAATTTTTACAATGCCATTTCAACTATAATGATTAATAACGTGATGGGTATTATGTTTGTATCCAAAATTAGGTAGAACTGCCACGCGATGTAGTGGCCAACGGAAATGTGGTAAAATGTTATGATGTATTATAGGGTACTCCTGTTTTTGTGTTTCAAATGGTCGACTTGGGAGGGGATACGTCACTGGAGTCTGGGCGTACCCATCTATTGCAATCGGGTGCTTGAGATTAGATATTTGGACATTCGGTATCAGAACTGAATAATAAATTACTGTCAATTATGACGTTGCTTGATGAATATTATTATTATGGGGAATTAAATATTGTGTTTAACAATAATCGTATCCAGACCACGATAATTTATATTACTGTTAGATGCTACAAAAAAATATTATGTACCTATATCAGGCGCACAGGTAGGTAGGTATCTCTATAATATTTTTCGATAATTTCTGTTTATGCGTTCGAAATCGATAACTTATAATATGTGGCTTAAGTATATAAATATGATATTATAAACATATAATAATAATAGCGTTCCAATAATAATAATATATAACTTATATAATCCAAAATACATCGATTACGATTAAACATAGTAGGTTACAGTAACTAACCCGTTTGAGAGCCACGACGTGGCGTTAAAAGTGCCTAGAAACACTTCAATAATATAATATTTTAATAAACTGTAGTAAAAACACAAATTAACACATATTAAGTAGGTTTTCATAGAACCTGTCCGTAAGTATGAAAAAAAATAACACATCAAATGCGATTATAGCATAACATCGAAAACATACAATTACTATATCATAGAAAACATTATCTTCGATCATATTATTATAGGAATATATAATTTTTTCGAGATAAAGCTGGGGTAACAAAGGTAATATAATAATATAGGTGCCTTTAATTGGGGATCGACAAAGACAATAGCGTAACGATAACCGAGAAATCGTTGGACACTCGCTCATACACCATGTGCATCGTGCACGGCAGGTGTCGAATGATTGAGAAAGCTCGACGAGTGACGACGACAAAAAGTTCCACACGGCAATATTATCGTGATATAGCTTAATCGAAGTGTCCATGTCTCTTTTTCACCGCGAAAAATGATAGTTAAAACCGTTCGAACGACAGACCGAACACGATGGGCGCGCTGCAAATATTCTACCGACGATCGCACACGGTCCAATACACTATATAACGTATAATATTTTATATTGTTATGGATAATTTAGCGTCAGACGTGTAAGTCATAACATTATTTTAATGCAATATTGTCGTGTATATTATATTATAATATGTGCTCGTTTCGCGACGACGATCGAGAAACACAGCAGCCGTGACGATAAGAAGCGTCGTATCTTGTACGTAATGTATCGGTGTACATAAGTGCGTATGGGATATGATATTGAAATCGAAATCGCAAACTTTGATTTTATTTTAAATCTATATCATCGTCCGTTGAGATCGGCTGCAACTCGCGTTTTTATAGCAGTTATTCTTCAAACGTATCTTAATTTTCAAACAGACAATACTTTCGATTGTTTTCGATTACAACGTCATTGTAAAACTGACAAGTGACAACGCATTAAATTTTTTCACGGAAAAAATGTAGAAGCAAGCATACCTATTAGGAGGTATAGTATAACAATATAAGTTATAGCGCTTTAAACATTCATTACTAATAGTATAACGATCGACAGCAATATTCATTTATTATTTATTTATATAACACCTAAACACACAAATTAATTTTTTTTTCTAACGAACGCGGGACACCAGCGGAAAGCAATAATAATTAATAATAACTATTCTCAAATACATTTAATAGTTACTCTAAAAACAAACACACCGACGATTTAATCGCGACTATTATAACGGTTTAGACTGCCCAACGTTGCATCAAACTGGGGATCCACCGGTAAAATTGAATAGTGGAGAAATCGATCAAATAAATTGGGATTTAATCGGTAATTTTAGCCTAAAAAGTCGACGATCAAACGAGATGTTTCGGGGTGGGCGTTAAATTCTATATGAGAGGTCAGATTACGATAAAACAAGTTCGACGAAACGTACGGATTACTTCGTGACGCCTCGCGACTTGTCAACACGAAATACAAAACCGCACTAGGATGCGTGATTTCCGGCAATTATTACTGAACAATTTACAATATTTCTGGGCCCGTGTAGGTAAAGCAAGACGCGTCCGATGCACGAGCGTATGATAACCTAAAGCTTAACATAGTACACGAATTAAACCTAAAACCATTGATTATATAGGTATTATTAATATATTATAATATATAATCAATGCTAAGACCTATACGGAAGTTTACAAACTAATGTCAACAGTGTTGCTCAAACACTATTTTATTATTATAAATATTGTGTGTAATGTTTGTGTGTGCGTTATCGATGAGTGATAGGTCATAGGTGTGTTTACTTCACACGGTATACCAACATAATAAATAATAAATTATAAATAATTGACATGCAAAAATAACGTAGATAATATATTGTTGTAGATATCTAATTAACGCGTGCGATTTTATTATGTGACGACTGTCTAAAAAAAAAGAAACACAATGAAGAAGATTAAAATTAAAATCGGAATTAAATGCGTCCATTTATAGTACTATTGATAATGTTATGATGAAAGGAACGGGCAATATAAATAATATACAGCGATGAAATGAACAGCGAACATAATATAATATAATTATATTACTTATCATAATTCATAGGTGTTATTGGGAGATTTGGAAAAATATTGTGGCATGCAATGTTTTCGTGATTTGGGAAAAAAATATAATGTACGAGAAAATAATAATAAAAAAAAATTATGTAAATAGTAACGTACAAAAAAATTAATATATTGTTTAAATCGACATTTCTTGTATAAATTGTACTATATCTTGTTTGTTTTTGTGTATTTTTTTCCAAATGACAATATATCATTTTAATAATGAATATTACTAAAATATGATGTTAACAAAATCAAAGATAGAAAATAATAATACAAATAAAAATAATAATAATCTAAAGTTCTAAATACAAGAAGTCATATTATCACAATTAAACAAAAAAAAAAATCAAACATATAATTTAATGAAAAAACCCCTTTTTGTGCTACCGGGAGCACCAACATAAAATTTATGAAACGTTTTTTTATCGTGATATAATATAAATATATATTATGTATATATTTATATAATATACTATATGAAAAATAGTAATATTATTATAACGGGAAAAAATAAAATGTTGTTTATAGATTATTTACAAATTAATATATGTAATAACAATGAGAGAAAAAATAGTCAAAATTAAATAATAATAAATTACCATAGACAGAAATAATAATAAATAAGCATTTACTGCTCCTGCTCCTCTTCCGGTTCCTGTTGTTCCTGCGGTTCTTCCAGATTTTCGTGCAACAATACCGAAATCGAATCCTTGATCGCGTGGAACATGATATTTTTTATCTGCAGCTTATCTTCGTGATTGCTGTGGCTGCTGGACAAGTCCCGGAACTCGTTCATTAAACGGAAACACTGAGACACGTTTTCGGGCGACACGAAGTCACCGGCCACCTTGATGCAGCTGTGCAGATTTCTCACCTGCAGACGGTACACGAGCACGTTTAGTAAGAGACAATTAAAAGTGTTTATAAATATTGTGTTCATAGTATAATGTAATATATTATTGTGTGTCGGTGAACAAACGTCGAAGAAACATGATGTGTTTCGTAGAATGAAAAAAAAAATTAGAACATTGTATTAATATTATGTAGTAACTAGTAGGTGTATTGAAAAATGGCAATAACAATATATTTATTATGAAGTATAATATGATGGATTATTATTATTATTATTATGGTTGTACCTGGTGTGGGGCTCCAGCCGGAATGAATATGGCGTCACCTAGACACTGTACCACTGCATAACCCTGGACACCGTACTCAGTATACAACCGAGCCCTGAGATCTGCGTCCAAGTATGAGGATTGGTCGTGGATGGGATCGTGGTTGGGTTCCAGTGGTTCACCGCGTTCGGCGCTCACTTTGTTCAACAGGTCGCGTATCGAGTCTGCGTCCTTGGCATGATAAATGTGCCACACCGCACCAGGCAACTCTTTGGGCTCGCGGGCCCGTCTCTTACTTGCCATGTCACAGCCAGCCTCGTCGATCGCCCGATACGCTTCTGAAAAATCCATTATATAAACAAATAAAACGACTGACCACATGGATATAGTGTAGTAGGCGTGTAAGAACAAACTAAACAAATGCATTTGTAAATTAAACCAACTAAATCATATGGACTACCCATAGATTATTGATAAGTAAACGTAAAAGAAAAATCTATATAAATATATAATATAAAATATAAAAATGAACTCGAGTGCATAAAATGTATTAAGGTTCGATTAATCAGTCAAGCAAACAGTGTTTTAGCACCTTAAATTATACGGTTGCTGAAATATAATTATCAAATTGCAATAGTTAATGAACAAAAAAACTTAAAACTGTTGGAAAAGAAATTGCATCATGAACATACGTTTTAATTCGCAAGAAAATAGTTTTAATACTATAGTCAATAGTATTCAAGAGTTCAATAATGTACTATAATACAACGTATGAACTGTCACCAGAGCAACTGATAAGATCATCAAGTGTGACAAAAATGTGTTTTAGAGATTTTGAAAATATCAATTTGCTTTTCTACATAAATATTATTGCTAATATTACTTACCCTTTACGTGCCATTCATGATCAGCTTCATCGTCTTGGTTCTCACTCTTGTGCGAAATAGCTACATACACCATTACATTAACTGCATCCGACACATCCAAATGTAAATTAGTTGTACTCATCAACTGTTTGCCGGAATCGCGATTTCCAGTGTTCCCGTAAGCTGAATACATTTTTGGCCCGAGATCTGGTCGTACAAAACATGCCGGTAATCTAGCTGCCAAATTAAGATTTCCGTCACGTAGAGTATAATCTTTTAACGGCAATACTCTCATTAGATCATCAAATCTGTATCGGAAAACGCTAAATACATTACATTCGTTTTACTATTCAAGAAACATAAGAACAACTGGAGATACATTGGACGTTAACAAAGAAAATAGTTACCTTTCCGGTAAGGTGTCCGCAAAATCAGTGCCAACTGGCCAGTCTTTTAGTTTCAACAACATTTGTTTACCGTCCAAACCCTTAAGGCGCTTGCTTTCGTCCTCGAAACCATCCCAAAACTGTTTCATTGTCTTACCCTCAACAAGCATACCGGTTGCACAGTCAATCAAATCGTTGGTAAATTCACCGAAGTCGCGACTAAACGAATTAGGACTCCACAATTCCGGATTTAACCTTTGGCCCACGTCACTGACCATCACTGGCTGACCTCTTTTCCACTGTTCCTGCAAAAAACATCAATCGATTGCCGTCAAATACATGTAGGTCGTCAAAACAGTAGATTATTTGAGATATTATTTCACAGCTAAAGTAAATATAACACATTAACACAAATCTAGCAAGCCTTAATACGGGCATCAATATTAGTGTATTCGATGCGAAAATCCTGATAGCCCATTTTTATAGGTGTATACCAGAATAATACGAGTAGTTATTTTTATATTCATATATGAGTAACTGGACAGGTATTTACTTGAAATATGTCGTAGTTGGTAGGATCTTCGGGATCCAAAAGTCTCAGCAGTTTTCCTTCACATAGCCACGTATGGGGATTGTTCGGGAAAAATTCTCGGCTCTCCGCCAGTGTCATTACACGTGGTGGAAGCGGTTGGCGTGGAATGGTTCTCAGATATTTATTTTTCTTACGGACAAAGTGTTTTAATGGCTGCTGTCTTCTCTCCGGATTAGATTGAATACTCGCTCGTCTGTCATTTGAGCACTGTGGAATACAAACGAAAATAGACAAATAATTAATAATTTAACAATAATTTAATTTGCATGTGTTTATTTTACCCCGGCAATCTGTGGTTCGATGTTAATAGAATTTTGGGAACGAACAATACTTTTAGATCCTTCGGCATTATTGTCCGAAGAGCTCTCATCAAGACTTTTCTTAGAGTTTTCAGCAGTACTGTTTACCACGTTTACGGCAGCGCTGTTTTTTGAGCCCTCAGCCGGAATGTTATTTGAGTCCTCAGAAAGTTTGATTTTTGAATTATCAGCAGAATCGTTTTTCAAGTTATCGGCAGAACTGATTTCAGAATTTTCAGCAGTACCATTTTGAGAGTTATCGGTATTTGATGTGCTTGCTTGTGATATTGAGGGCACATCGTCGTCGTCGTCGTCATCAGTACTGGCGTCACCCTTAAAATACAGAAATTACATATTATAGTGATAGTATGTATCTATATATATATAGCATATATCTGAACATATTATAATATACATTTTAGAGCCCGATATTATTATGTAATTAGGTATAATAATATTGAAAAAATAAACCATATATTTTACTATATTGGGAAAAATTGTATTTGTTTACAGGCAGGAAAAAATAAAGCACAAAGCTGAATCTAATGAAAAATAAGTATATGTATTACCAATTGACACTTAAGTGTAAAATTAAAAATTTGAATTACCTATGTATATTGTATAATTATATAAAGTTATAATGAAATGGCTAGACAAAATCGTATTTTGACACTCGTATTGCTTTGATAATTTAAGCACAATGTAATGGTATATAACAATTAATATAATATTCATAATATAATTAATATAATAAATCATCGATCATTTTTATCATGAGCTTTGGTTCACCTAGTGTTACAAACACTATTTAAAAAATTGTTCCTACAAATATTGAATTACCTATCTAAGAGTTTGTAAAATTTGTTAAATTTAGTGAGCAGATTATTAAAAAAATTGTGAAGATATAAAAAAATATTTAGTTTAAATACATAGATTCAAATTTGACTAAAAAAATAAATTACCGTTTAACTATAAAAAGTCATTTTACAAATTTTAAATAGAAATAAATATTTACCTGTGTCTCAGGGAAAGGATGTTCTGGACAACCACATTCGATTGGAAGGTTCCACAAAGTACTGATCTTGTGTAAATCAGAAAATACAACGTCCATCGAATCACTGGCTACGATTTGTGTAAGCATGAGCCGCTCGACGTCATGATTATGTTTGCTGTTACAAGTCATCCACGTGAACGTGTCCTTCTCTCGCAGGTCCTTCTTAGTCATGGTCGCAGCGTCTGGAGACTCCGACGAGCCGTTAAGACGCGCCTGCACAACAATCGTTGTATATTTGTGTTAATTGTATAGGTATAACATTGTAGAAAATATTTGAAATTAAACATATCTCTCGTAAATATGTGATTCGATTTAGCATTGAAAAATAAAAGCGAACCCATGAATAATAATTTTCCTAACTTCAATTTATGTAGTGAAACGTGAATAAACACAAACAGACCATTAAAAATAAAAAACTGATAGTTATATAACATATAAGTACTTCTGTAGGTATTAAAAGAAGAATTTTTTAATTATTTCCGGTTTCAGAATCATGAGTTAATAAATTAGCAATGAATTATTTTGTTTTTAATTTCGACTACGTCTACAAATTTGTATTCACGCATATTAACAGAATATTAACAAGAACACATATTAAAAGATACAAAAATAAAGTACGATAATTTCTTAAAACATATGTCTTATTAGCTTTTAATATATGCATTGGTATGTAGTTGCATTATTTTTCAACTGTACACTTTGCAAAAACTTATATAAGAAATGGTATAAAATAACTAGAAAAATATTGATTAAGATTAACGGTTATTTAAAAATATATACATATATACCTTAACACAATCGATGCAAACTCCAAAACCACATTTTGCGCAAGCCCAGTGGTAGTTAAAAATAGTCGTAAGACAAACATCACACATTTCCCTCACGCCGTTAGCTGCTTTTTTCCATGCAATAGGTTTGCCTGCAATACATATGAAAGATAAATTTTTTAATTTACTTTAATCACGCGAAATCAATTACCTTGGAAATATGGCGACAGAGTTAGAGCTTTATTTTCTTCTTTCACTAAATAGCAAAATTGACGACCGGCCTCAACTAACACTTTTTTTGCAACTTCAACATCTAACGAACTTGGTGGACATTCCGGGTTAGGCAGCCAAAGATTCGCATCATCCTAAAATAAATGTTTAATTAATGATTTCCTTTGTATTTTAAACATAATGTGCACAAACTTACTTCAGTAATATCCAAGAAAGGATCAGGGAATCCAGCATTCATTAATTGTCCAGTTTTGTTTGTGAACAACCGACGAAATGCGTAGAACCGACAAAAAATATTATCAATTTCATCCTGCGTCATTACATCATTCTTCTTATTGTTTATGAATATACGGCATTCTCGACATTTATGTATCTTTGGCCCAGCATTTAAACATGGGCCCGATTGAAAAAACCGCACTTCACCATCATTATTTTTTCCTTTTTTTAAAGGTATGCTTACAACAACTTTGGGTTTTCTCCCTCTTTTTTTAGGAATCTTAATGGGTGGAACTTTCTTTTCTGTTTCTAAAGGCCTGGCATTGTCTGTTGTGCTTTTATTTTCCGGAGGTATCGTGGGATTAGAAACCTTTCTTTTTTTATACTTTTTGGTTCCACCACCCGTTGATGTTGACGGTTCTGAGTGCGAACTACACGGCAACATTTCTGGAGGCGAAGTTGCCTCAATATTATCTTCTGACGAGCTTTTGGAAATTTTTCTTTTTTTGGTAATTTCACACTGTAAAACTGGAGGAGTATCATCCATTTGAGAGAAAGAATGAGATGGATTTTGATCGATATTAACTCCTGCTTCTTTCAAGTCTTCTGCCCATACATGGCGTTGTAACCATGCTTTCTTTAATTTGTGATGATGGGTTTTTATTCCACTAGACATATCTGTATAAGTTGCAGGCATTAGCACAGGAGGAGGTGTAGATGGAGAAGAATCATAGGTATTCGAGTTGGTCATTGGGACATTTGAAGAGGTTGTCACTGAACTTTCTGTCTTAACATTAGTTAACGATACAGTTGTCGAAATTGTAGTTGAGATTGATGCAGGAGCAATTGTTGGAATCTCGGTTGAAGCTGTGAACGGGGCTTTTGAAATGGAAGTTGGAATAATTGTTAAATTATTCGCTAACATGGTAGATGAAATGGAAGTTGGAATAGTCTTTGGATCAATCATTGAAACAGTAGACGGAATGGAAGTTGGAACAGCCATCAAATTACTTGTTGAAATGGTTATTGGTGTACTTGATGAATTACTTGCTGAAACAGTAGACGGCAAACTTATCGAATTGCTCGAGGAGAGTGTCGTCGTAATGATCGCTGAAATTGTAGTTGAATTGCTTAACGTGATTAGTGGTGAGCTCACATTATCGTTATTAGGCAAATACATTTCTAAATAAGTATGTTTTTTGGATTTAACACAAACATTTATATCATGTGTGTTTCTGGTATCTTGAGGATCTGGTTTGGCATTTTTGTAGTTAGAATTTAAATATAAAGGAACATCAGTTTCAGTTGTAGCTTTATTAGATATCATAACTAGATCTAATGCTTCCGTTTGGAGATCATCGACTGGTACTGCGACAGGTACAAATTTCGGAAGAGCACTAGACATCATTGCATTTAAATGTGCAGGAGGGGGAGTGTCTAAATCCCTTTGAGCTTGATCAGTTTGAGGTGGATACAAAGCATAACGACCATGTGTATTTAACAGAGGTCCAGGATGATGTGGTTCCGGAGAAGAGTTGTGACCTTTTGGTTGACTAGTATTGACCGAAGATGATGATGTCCTGGAGTAATGCATGGGTTTGGCTTGTTTTGGTTCTTTATTACAATCTAATTTTACAGCAGGGACTGTGAGAATAGTAGGAGTGCGATTATACGAATAAGCTTCTGCAACAGGTATTGATGAGTTTTTGTACGAAGACTCATTTCTAACTATCACTGATGAATTGGAAGGAGGTGCGTACACATGATTTGCATTCATGTAAGGAGCATACGAGATCATATTATTATGGTTTCCACTATCGTTGGTATTTATTAATACATTTTCATGATCGAAATTCGATGTAGGAACGGTCCGACTTCTATAATGTGCTTGCTGCTATGAACATACAAATAATAACAAAAGTTTAATTTATGTCTACACATTTTCAAAAACAAAAATATATTTTGCTTATGTAAAATGTATTTTGCGCATATTGTGCATAATATGAAAAAAATACAAATTATATTTTAATTATTTGTATGAAAGCAGACTCCCCAGTGCTCACGTATCGTATATCGATAAGGATTAAATAAAAATTAATTCTCGCCAAAATCTGAGAAAAATGCGGTCATAATGTTCATTTTTATATTTTTTTGGCTATACAAATTTAAGATTTTAATCTCAGATTTCTAGTATGCCATAATCATATAATGTAATTACTCATAAATATATTATTTATTTAAAACTCATAATACCATAACTAATATTTTATATTATTTGTTCTTAAGCTTTACGGAAATGGTTATAATTAACTTTTGAAAAACTAGAAATTTGAAAAATCACAAACACTTTAACTAATTGATTTTTAAATTAAAATATTCTTATTACAAGACACTAAGTTTTTATACTAATTTTCTAATTTCAACATTATTTGATTGATAATAAATTCGATTTTATAATAGTTATTACTTATTATTTAACTAAAAAAGAAATTGTTAATTATCTGTTAATGTAAGTTATTTAAGTTTACACTCACAGTAGGAGGCCTAGAAGATGACGGATCAACAGGTGTTGATCTGGAAGGAGCATATTTATTTTTCTTATCTTTCCAATCGTCGACGCCTCGATGATTGACTGTTTGATTTGCCCCATTAAGAGACGGATGCCTTTGCTTAGATGTTTCTTGAGTCTTAGGCCCTTGACTTGGGTACACATTTTTAGGCGGGGAAGGCAAATTTGATATCCAATTGGTTCTCTGAAGAAAACAATATTTAAATAATGTTGTATTTAACATACACTTTTTTTAAAATTCATATACTATGAGATATTTCAGGGGTCACATGATTAGGTTCAAATCAAATACATACTTATTTAATAAATATGACTGATTTAAACAGACTATGATAAAGAAATCTGAAGGCAAACATCCTAACATACATTTAAGCATACAACATTGAATTTCGACACATACATTCAATTATAGGATTGATTGGGAAATATATGATATTAATGTCTGTTTAAATACAATGCATATTTCTGTAAACATAGCAAACATTTATGTTATTATATTTAATAATAATATTAACGTTAACAGATATATTATATAATATGTATAATTATATACATAGGTATATGCATAATGCAGTAAGTTGTTGTCATCTATTTTTTCGATCCTGCTCATATTTATGTTTGTTTCCAAAATCTTTCTCCAATTATGAAGGTAAAGTGTACACTATTATTACGGTATTATTTATTTAACACGTACAATAAACGTTACACGACAAGTGTACAACTAATTATTTAATTGTATACTCAATATGAAACATATTATTCTATAAAGATTAAAAGATGGATTTCTTTTAAAACAATCTGGTTATATACGTTCTATTGTAAAGATAAACCATTTATCTAATACAAATAAAATAAAATACAATGGGCACGTTGCTATTAAGTGAAATATCTACTGTGAACTCTAGTGTTTTTTGAGCTGTATAATTTAATCAGTCTGTTTTTCACGTTAAATAGTTGATGGGCTATGTATTTTTAAAAATAAGACTTTATAATTGTTTGGGAATATGTATTAATTTTATCAATGACTAGAATAAAAAAATTGTTATTTAATATATTATTAACTTTTTTTTTTTTCCGTTTGAACCGACAGCAGAGGAGGATCTGTGTGAACACTACTATACTCCTCAATATATTGTTAACTTTACAACTTATGTTTGGAATAGTCTCTAGTTTTCTATTAAATGTATGTACATTTCGTTTCTTTTTTTGTTATTACATTTCTTAAAATACATAGCAAAATTAAACTTCACGAGTTTTATGTTTCAAATTAGAAATGTATAACATAAAAAAAAAAATTACTACTGCAGTTGCATCAACAAAAAACTTAATACGATTTGTTTTTAAATATTGTATTGCATGTTCTACAATTATGTGTTGTATATTTATTGTGTTAAAGAAATGTGTTTTAAAAGTAACATAATATAATAAATAGAACCTTTAACATTTGGAAATTGACACAAATGGTACTCTAGTTACAATTTAGCCCGAGTGCTTTAGGTATTTCACAATATGATTTATAAAAATTTTATTTAAAAAAACTGTACAAGTTACAGCAACACCATTTTTGACAAATAATATTTTTATACTAAATCAAATTAAATGGTTAGGTATTGAAAACATTTTTAACGCAAAGAACAATAATTGTTTAATGTAGTAATATATTTATGGTAAGGGGTGGGGAAATATGGGGATCCCCGTAACTTTTTTTTTACTTCTTTGCATCTCAAGGAAATGTATGCTCAGTTAAGTGTTTTTGTAGTATAAAAAAAAACACGCTGAAGTAGGTAATTGGCAGTTAAAGTGTACAACTGTTTAAAATTTATTTATACGACAAATAACGTCAATAACCGCAATAATAGTTAATTCTGATTCTGAGAAAATTAACATAAAACATGGAATATTCTAAACATGTATACTATTTATCATGAAGAGTTAATATTATATTTAATTACTTACAGCTATATACTTATATTTTATTAATTTTTAAAATATAATAAGTATTTAATTAGGTTCATTATTGTTCGGAAGTTCAGCTTCAAAATTTTGATTTTAAACTTTTCACGTTTATTATTGTAAATTACTGTGATAGTGCGACGCAGGAACTAGGCACTGATTTTATTGCAATTTCATTATAATAAGATATTAAATACTAACAGTTAATACTATTTGATGCATGATTACCAATAAGCATAATATATTCTTATCATTAGTACAAGTTAAACGGGTAGGCTTCATTGGCAAGTTACTGATTACTCATAATAACAGGAGATGAAGTAAGAGAGATGAGCTAATCTTAAAAAAGAAATATTTGATTTTGTGTTACAGATAGTATACCTACGTCAAATTGGGAATATTTTTTGCTGGAAGATATAAATAATACAAAAAAAAAAAATAATGTTCAAATGCCACAAATATTTGTAATAGGAATTTTATGTTAACAAAACATTCAATCTCAAGTAACATTCAAACATGTTATAGAATATTAGAATTCTGGTAACGTATTATGTATTGATGATGTTAAAAAGTTATTATGATTTAAGGCAGCATTAGAAGTTATTGAGTTGGATGCCACTGGACAAATTCATACTCCCCCCCCCCCTCCAGACAAAAACCTAAATACGCTACTGATTTAATGAATTTGGTAAGACGACGATATTTGGTGAAGCAAAAACTAGCAGTAATTAAAAGGGCACCACCTTACAAGCGTACAGCTAGCAATATATTGTACACAGTATATAGCACATTCATGTTCAGTAGTTCCAATTTCGTGTAGTAACTAGGACGAACCGACAACGGACACGTAAAGGTAAGAATACGAGTATTTTCAGTGTTTTGGTCATTGGGTTTTTACGATATTTTAACTTTTAAGCGAACTATGAGAATTTTTAAATTGCAATATTTTACATATTCATAACTAGCTTAAAAATTAATACATCGTAAAAAACCCATAAGAAACGCAGATATTGTTCAGACCATTAAGTTTCGTAATAAATCAACTTACTTTATTACTCAAGGTTACTACACAAAATTGGATCTAAAGCAGAACAAGTGAGGTCAACTAACAACTACACATGAGACTTCTTAAATACAAGCAAACACAAAAAAATAAACATCAGCATACAAGTGCGTAGCAAGAAATTTTATCAGGAGGGAAGGACGGCAATCAAGTGTATTTCTAAATTTTGATCCAAATTTAAAATTTAAACATCAATATATTTGGTAGCTATAGGCGGGAGAAGTGTCCCTCTCCTTTAACTACACCCTTGTGAGTAAATATATTATTATTTAAATTGTCATACAAGGTACTCATAATATTCATAATTTATGCTACTCAATGAAAGACACCTTGCGATGGTTGTTGATACATTTAGTTATTTTCCTTATAAAAGTATAGACAATCGAAATTTTTTTATTACTATCAAATTGTTTTGTACCTAAGCTAGTGTTTTCCAAATATTTTCACGATTAGGTTTTTGAGAATTTATTAAGACACTAGTGAGTGATGGATGAAAAATATAAACTAATATTTCTACTACTTTTGTTTAATTCGACATAAGTTTTCAATAAAATAAAAATACAGAAAGAATGGAAAATATACCTATAGGTTTTCGCATTATTAACGGAGCTACTATAATGCATTTGTCTTAAAAAACAATCTTCAAGGAATTAATATAGTGTTGCAAAAGTATAACAATATAAACTGTAAGGAAATTATATACAAAAAAAAAAAAAAAAAACTAAAGAACAATTAATCGAAAACTCTTACCCTTTGTTGCTGAGCAAGTTTCAGACTCTCCTCGAAATGCTGATGGACAGCTGCCTCGGCTTGTTGCTTTTCTGTGTGTTCGCGATTGCCTCTCTGGTGACGGTTTACCAACCGTTCGATTTCCACCTGCCCGTAGTCGTTATTCGAACCGTTCTCGATGGGCACACCTCCACCCCTGTGTTTGCCACCTCCGGCAGGGCCTTGCGCGTACGGTGGCTGTTTGGCTCTTTTCATTTCTTTGTAAACGTCCTTTTCCGTATTTCCTCTGTGGCGAAAAATAAAGAAAACGATGCATGATAGACAACATAATATATGAGTGTAGACAAGCTCGTTATAAGAAAATCTGAACAGGTTATGTCGCGGGTTTTGCGTCGTATATACGAGAAATTTTATTTGATAAAGTGTACCTACAGACGACAATTATTAAACCTGACAACTATACAGTGATATAAGTAATAATATATTTGTCAATTTGTCAATTCGTCATGTGTACATTTCAGTGTTTGCAAACTTCTCTAGGCAAACCGATTCACGTTCGTCAACTTAACAAAATATGAACTCGATCAACCACCCACACTGTCGTCGATCGTTTTATTTTATTCTCGAATTGTAAATTTCTAGGAAGGTACTTTTTTTCTATCTGTAAATTTCGTATTTATTTTCTTATAATACTTTAAAGCTCGGAATAATATTATTGTTATTGTTTACGATTATTTATAAGGAGGAATATCTATTCCCTTAATTACATAAAAAAAAAAAAACAATGATAATATAACAATACCATGATTAGGATATTCGTCGAAACGTTTTGAAATTTGTCTTACGCCGTTAAAATGCATTAAAAATGTCTTAAAAGAGTGGCCTATTACTCTATTTGTTCTTTAAAAAATAAAATAATTTTTTTTCAAACACTGAAATTCATTGTAATAATTGTGAGGTAACAGGACAAGATGTAGAACATAAAGTTATAGAAGTATCATAGTAATATTGCATATGCATTTTGGAATTAATATAAAAAATATACGAGTAATACACAAACTATATGTTAATACCTATAGGTAACTATAACTCTATTCGATAATAACAATCAAAAAATTAAAAACACTAATGCAATAGAAATTTGATTTTCCATGACTTGTCTATCCTTGTATTCAAAATAATCAAAGACGAGTAAGTATAAATGAAAATAATTAACTTGAGTTATGTTAAGTCAACGTTAAGAATGTTTATCTATAAGTTAATAGTTTAACTATTAGTTAAATAATATTCAATTTTAAAAATTCAATGATATAATGTAAAGAAATATTAACTTAATTCAGTTATTTTTTTTTTTTTAATTACCATATGAATCCCGGATATAGTGATTAAGGAACTTAATTTATTACAAAATATTTGGTTAAAATGAATCAAATCCCACCTTATTATTACTACACTCTAGCTGTAGTGGTTTGGTCGATTATTAGTAATTACTAATTACACGTTTGTATCAATTAAATCACTATTTAGGAATATTTATTTTGTTATTTGTACCTACCTATATAAAATATTTGATTGTGGAGTGATTAAACCACAAAACAAAATATTTAATAAGTTTTAACTATACAATTAGAGATACTATGTGATACGCATGAACATGGTTTTAACTTAGACAACGTATTATTTTTTAAATTAACTGAAAAAACTAAGTTGTCACAAAATTACAGGGGATTATTTTAATAGTTAAGTTAATATAAGTTAATGATAAAATTAACAAGCTAGTAAGAAAAATTAACTTTTCAATTATTTAGCGTTAAGTTGTACCTGTTATTTAGTTTTTGCTGTTCGTTGGGGCGAGGATGGTGGTAATAGCTGTTAGCCGCAGTCGAATTGTTGTTGCCGTTTGCCACAGCAGCGGTAGGCGGTTTCCACAGCATTCCGGCTGCTCCCATGGTCGGCTGCATCGCGGACGGCGTTGGAGTTTGAGGCGGCATCGCAGGTGGTGGTCCGACGGGCGGTGGGTGAAAAGGCTGATAAGGCAACATCATCTGTGGCATTTGCGCCGCGTTCGACATGAAAAGGCTCTGGTGTTGAACGCTGTCCACGTGTCTTATGGGACCGTTCGGCGACTGAAAAATGCGAAAGGTATAACAGTGAGTTGGTGGCAAACAACGAAGGCATAGAATGTTGTTCAATAATTATTGAATTATTTTGCACAATCGATGCAGCAGCAGTACCCCCCATGTGCACCCCGCGAGATAAGGACATAATATTGTGAACTTCGTTGGGAGGTCCACAGACACGTGTGCATACGATAAGTAATAACACAATAATACATTAATATATTATTATACAAAATAATATGTCTGTGGGTAGACCCGTGAACTATAATGATTATCATTGTGACGATTATTATCGATTTTACTGACGAGACCTAGCGCCTGGTTACGTATAAATTATAATGTGTAATACACGAGTGGATGTGTACCTGTGTGTGTAAATAAATAATAAATCCCAGTAGAATGAAATAAAACAAAACAAAGATATTGTGTGAAAGGTGTTCGATTGTAATACCGGATCTTCATAGAAACATTTTTAAAAATAAATTGGATTGTCCCAACTGTAATGGGAAAGTTGAGATTTAGTTTTGCTTACAATTTTACTACGTGTGTATACCTAGGGCATAATGAAGCTTATAAAATCAAACACGCATGGACGGAGATTATTCAGACACAAAAAACTGTTCAATAATCATAATACAATAAATAATTATGTACCAAAATACTTTCAGCTTCAAACTTTAATTCACCGTCAATAGATATTAAAACTGATAGCGGTGGAAGCTTTATGATTGAAAAATGCTCATGTGCAATGAGACGAATAATTATTCATTTCATACAAACATATTATGCAAATGCAAATCAACGTTGTGCAACCAGAGGTGTTTCAGTAGCATAAAACGTGCAAAAATAATATTTGGGCTTAGAAATATTAACAACATATTATACAAAATACATGCGCTAAGAATAACAATAATTATGTATAAAATAAAAATCTTCTAAGCGTGAATTCTTAATAACATGAATTGCTATTTATATAGGGGTTTTGGCATTCGCGTAGCAAGTAATACTGATATTACACATATTATTGTAATTCTAACCGAAGCAGGCGATCTATTAAATTGTACACATATACCCAACGGTTGCCTATACACATTTCTCCTGCAGTGAATAGTCGATAAAATGCATTTTTACACTTGTGTTACTATTTATTAGTTGTCCATTCTAGTCATTGCACAATATATACATTTATGCCGAATGCCGATAATTCTATATACCTAATTGCTCATGATCAAGAAATCGCGCCGAATTCGGATAGTAATGTTGTGAGTTATTTTATCTATTAAATAAAAGTTTTAATATTAAAGTCGCGCTGGTCGTCAATGCCACGAAACAGTATATTTTAGTGAATTAAAATTTGACAATTTGATTTATTTTTACAGTCCTAATTAGCTAATGAAAAATAATAAATTATAATACATTTTACGTATATTCAAATTCGGTAGATTACCTTGACATCGTCCCGTTGTAGATCAACTGCTACACGAACGGCGGTATTTTTTTGAAAAATAATACGGCAAAACAAACACAACGCTCCACGTTATGTTATTTGAAAAAAATATATAAATAAATTTACATTATACTATACCCAAGGGCGTTCGGGTAATCTCTGGGTTTGGTATAATGATGCGGATCCGATCGGACATAGATTGCAGACACCACGCGGTAGACAGGTCGGGACGGAAAGAAAGACTACTTATTATAGTATATACCTCCGCGGGAAGTATAATATGGTTTCCTTTATAAATAATTTTCCGATACGTCAACGGCGAGGGGGCGGAGGGGGGAAGGGGGAATAATAAAAAGTTTCGAAGTCGCAGGATTCGTTCAATTTTCCAAACGGTACCCGTCGCGCAACACCCACAGCGTAAAACGTCATTATTTACATGGCACGTATAACGGCGTAATACAATAATATGACGACGACGACGACGATCGTGTGCATCGCATCGGTCTGTGTACACAACACCTATACGCTGAAACGTAATATTGATGCAATTATTCGTGTTTTACAATATAATAATATACGGACGTGACGTGCGATAAAACGTACCCAGTTTTGGCCGCGCGACCGACTGCTGTAAAGAATTATATTATTATTATTATTATTATTATTATTATTATTATTACTGTAGAGGGTTGAGCTCGGGGCCCCACACGACTTATTATCGCGACACCGGCGAGATATTTACGACCCGACGAGAGTGAGTTTATGACAACCCGGCCGGGTCTAGGTACGCGTATGATATAATAATATTTGCTTATTGTTATTATTATTATTATTATTATTATTATTATTATTGTCATCATCATTACCCGAGTATGGGTGCTATTATTATTTTTCCCACCAAAACAAACACCGATAATAATGCAATATTTAAAAATATATACCACGGTGTACAATATCCCACTCGATAATAACGCGACAATATTATGTGCGTATATTATAGCACACTTCCCGAAACCGTCGACAAACATATATTATTTGTTATCATTATGAACTTTTAACGCGAGTATAATATTGTACTACCCACGTCGACATGTCTCATTATTTTATCTTGAGTTTTGATCGAGTTTGTGACATATTTTTCTCGACCGTCTAAAAGCCGGTTTGATATGTTATAATATTCTGAGTACTTATACGCTTTTCCCACAGAATTGGTATTAATAATAATATTATAGAACGATAAGATAAAAAGCTAATATTATTTAATATTCTCGGTCGTCGCTCCAAAAGCCTTAAAGGAATAACGACTTTTAAAAATATATATATACTTACAAACTGTAAACCGCGCGAGGACCTATAACTAATAACAATGGTTTAGTACGTAAAAATTTAATAAATAATGTTCGGAGATAATAAATAATAATGATTATGTGTATATATGTAGTATTATTTATTTTATTTTCCCGTTTATAGCAGAATATATAAAGTCGGACAAATATTGGAAATCGATAAAAATGTAGGTATCTAGATTTGTATAAATATTAAACTGTGTAATAAAAATAAAAAAATAATCGTAAAATATATAATTTCATAATCACATAATATTATGTATAATTCTACACCTTACATGCCTTCAATATAATAATAATATATTATGATAATCAGCTAAAAGTAATTACCTGTAATTTGTTGAACGGCCGAAGATTTATAGGGCATGAGTTCGTTAAATAATAACGTTTATTTTTGTGTTATCTATTTAGAAGTATTTATACTGTTGAAATGGGAAATATTGAAAAGTTTAAGTGAACAGTTGATTTGACATCGAGACTCATAGCGCAATCAAATTATTTAACGCAGAAAAAATCATTCTATTAAATTTTATTTCGTCTAAATTCCATTAAATCCCATTTTATTTATATGGACACATACAATTTATATATAAGTTATAGTGTACTAACTCTACCAAAGATTAAAGCGACGAAATAAAAATGACAAATTGAGACATTTCAGTCTTAATAAAAGAGGCCATTAAATACAATAATATATAATATCGAATTTTCGACATTCAGTTTATCATGGACGTAAATAAAAATCAAACCAGAAGATTAAATTATTATTGTTTATTACAACATAAATAAAAGTGATCTCATCTATTCGGTTTTTTTAAACATATTGGTTAACTAAAAGCAATAACAAATTAGCAAAAATATAATTTAGCACCTAACTGTTTATGAGAATATAAAAGAAAAGAAGTCTCATAAAAACCCCAAGAGTTGAGTAATAATTTGCAGCCTTTTATGCACAGAAACCATTAATTATCTTTAACGAGGTGATGAAATATTAATTTTATTCCTTTTGGGGAAAGCTTTGACGAAAATTTAATTATTTTTAAATTTTGCCTTTATACTATATAATTTCCAAAATATTATATTTCAACAATGAAACTAAAGTTTAAGTATTTTAGAACTATGCTTATGCTCAAATAAACTTGTATTTTGATAATAATATATTATAAAGTGTACCTAAAATTTCATTATATTTATTTATTGTTAATTTTTATAGAATCTCATTATATAGTTATTAACATAATATAATTTGTAATACATTTATACCTTTGTATCTAATAAATTTAATTCTTTTTAAATTTTTTTTTAAATTTTTACAAAAAATACCCTTTAATAATAGGGAAAAATTACAATTAGAAAAAATATAAGATAAAGATAATAAACAATTTTTAATTTAAATTCATCAAATATATGATATCATATATCTTTTACAATAAATTTATTTTATTGATGTACAATGCTGTACAGAACTTATGGTTATAGTTTAAAAAAGTTTTCCATTCACAATTGTTGTGTAACACCAACCCCTTGCAGCACAACGAACTAACCTGACTCCCAAACTTGTAAAATCTTCTTAATTTAAAAACAAACTTTAATAAACTGTATACATTATTATTATTTCTGAAAACAAAAACTATTTTAAATATCAATTTATTGCTTTATAACAAAATATTATTCTTTGTATTTTACATTGAACTTTGCAGTCAAATGAGAATACATTTCTCGAACTCACACAATAGATTTATCATTAAAATAATATTTATACTAAAATTTACATATTGATTAATTATAACTACCGAGGCAAATTAAATAGTAACTAGTAATAATATCATTTACCAAATAAATAAATAAAATAAGTAAATTTAAAAATAAAAGTCATGATATCGATGTATAATTATAGTTATAATAATTAAGAATGTTTTGTAGCATATTAGTAATTATGTATACCTATATTTATTTATTTGTATGAATAAGTTATTTTGTTTTATAATAGCAGCTATAAAGTAAATTAATTTAATGGACTTAGGACTTAGATAAATGAAACGGAACTACCTATAAATATTATAACACATACAAGTACCTATATTTAATATTTTTATCGTTTGTAAATAGTTAAAATATTTCTTTAAGCTGTTGTTCATTAATTATTTATGATGACCTACAAATTCAAAAAACATTTGGTTTCATTTAAAAAGGAACATTTTTTTTTTGCACAAAATGACCAAAAACATCTTATTTCTTAAGGCGAATAATATAAAATATGAAATATGTAAGTAAAAAATGAATTAATTGCTTACAAATAATTGTATTTTAATTAATTAGTAAAGAACGCACATTAATTATACGTATGTATATATGATCAGCAACAGATGTCATTGATTAATTATCCATAGAGTGTTAAAATACAATTTTAAAACTATCATTAATATGATGCAATTATATTTTTCCATATTATGTTAATTGAGTTGTAGTGACATTTTAGAGTTAATAATACGATTTGAAGTAGGAAATTACAACAGACAAACAAGCTCTGTTTGAATTTTCTCTTAAAATGAGATAACCACAATATTATAATAGAATATTACATTGAGTATCTTAATTATTTTTTATTTATAATAACGTTTAAAACATAAAACTCATAAGAACGCATTTCAAAAAAGATCTCCGCTTTTGTTAATACGTTTGAATGTATAAATGTTGTGCATTACGGTGGTCGGATATTATCTGGTCGAAGCTGAGGAGAATAAAATAACCCATTAAACCTGCTAAAAATGTTGGATCTATTGCTCACGGAACAAAACACATAAATAAAATATATATAAAGTACACGAACATATTATAGAGGTCGTTTGGGTGTTAAAAAAGGGATTGTATGCTGGAAAAAAGCCTTTTGACTAATGATCTACAGTAGCCATTACTATATTTTACATCAATATCTTATATTAGGTATAAACTTATATAATATATTAGTGCCAATTGGATATGTATAGTGTGCAAATCAAATCGCCAACCGTCGTACATGATGTTATATAATAATCATTTGAACGTTTATATAACATAATAATAGTATATATATGTAAGTAGGTTTTCTTAGAGTTGGAGATATTATTGGTACCTATTGATACTGTTTGTTATCGCCCCGCAACCCCGAAATATGTTAAATGGATACCAGGTATACCGTTCGTCGGTAGTCTTTAATTTTACAATTCTCATTTATTTAAGATGGATAATATTTCTCTGTATCTTAGTAAGTTTACTCAGTTTACTGGAATTTATTACACCGAAGTCTAGTACGCGATTTATAGAAAACGGAAAAATACTCTTTAAGTTTTTATGTCGAATGTATTGTATTTATTTTATTTTATTAAATTATTGGACTGTCGCAGGTGTGTCGCTGGCTTTTCGGCTGAAGTGTATGTGTCAACCGTGGCAAATGATTACACTACCGACCGGTCTGTCTTCTAAACGTTCTTTTAAAATATTATGTTAAAAATGTAATTTAATTTATGAGTTGCTCTAAAATAGTGAAATTGCATTTTTAGTTGTTATAACAAAAACATAATACAAATTATTATTATCGTTAAAAAAATAATACGTGAATGAAATGTCTGGCAACAGTAAAAATAAAAATTAAACGCTTTAGAAAATTGTCCATTTTTTTTATGCTTATTATTATTTACTTTTGTTTGAAAGTTTTGTTAAGATACGTAAAAAACTGTCTGAGCAAGACTGACGGTCGCCCGGCAGTGCGATAACAAACAAGTACCATTATTAATATTATTGAAGAAAACGTCTCATATATGAAACCACTGTTATTACATACAATGTTGCGTAGTGAAAAAAAACATATATTATACCAATTATAAATCGATAATAAAATAAAAAAATTCTATTACGTAGCTGGATATACACAATCAGCTACTATAGGTCAACTATACAAAGTGTTTTGTGAGGCAAAAAAGAATGGAATGTGTTTCTTCGTTTCGAGATTACTGTGCGTTAGTAATAAATAATAATTCGTATCAGAAGTATATTGAATATTATTATGATTATTAACATGTGAGAGACAAAAGTCGTCTGCATAGGAAAATAAACTTAGAAACGACCGTAGTGACGTCAAAGTCTTCCGTCGACTGAAATAACAATATATATACTATTATATCGTACAACATAATACAAAAAAATTATGTAAAATGTAATTTAATTGGCTTGTTGTTTAGAAAATGTTTTATCATCATTAATAGCGTTATGCGTCTTACATATTCCGAACGAAAAAATAAAAATACATCGCAAAAGTGGACTACATAATACTTATTACACATTACATTGGGTAGGTCTTACCACTTTTATTTTTACTTTAAATCCGTTAATTAAATATTAAGTACCTAGCCCACTTATCTATGCAAAAAACGAACCACACGAATCGAAACTCGCTTGTGCGAGTGTGTCAAATTCACAAGTACAATTCCTGCCAGTGCGATGTCCATACGATAAGGTTAAATGATTATTATCCAATTATTCATTGCCTACGGCCGAAACGCGTCCTCCCCTTTCCGGATTGGGTTGTACCACGTCACCCTTCGGCAATTTTTTTTTTCGGTCGGCGAATTTCGGTTTGCATATTACTGCAGATGTAATAGTGTATTAATAATAATTGTAAACGCACACGATATTACTCTACATAATAATATATTATGTACACGCTTCCACGAAGCCGATGAAATTAATTTTGTAAGTTATTACATGGGCTAAAATATGTGCGAAAACTTTTGAACTGATTTAGTAGATAACTATACCACACAATTTTAAAAACTTTTTGACAATTTAATTTATTTACCATTTATTTATATATTGAGTGCGCCACAAATAGTAATATTACGGGATAGAGTACGAACTATTTACTTGGGTGAATTTAAATGAAAATTTGAATGAAAAATTTAAATGGTTAATACCAAAGTTCAAATGGCAAAAAAGAAACATCAACGGAATTTGCGGATACGTCAATAAGGTGTGTAATATAATATCTTGAATTCATATAACCGTATTTAAGGACAATTCACGATTGTATGATTCATTTTTTAACCGTTTCGAAGCAATCAAAACGCGTTTGAGTGATTTAACCTATATACCTATATTATAGTGCAAGCATTCGGATTTACATAACAATTTAACACTTCAAAACTGTAAGTACCTAATCGTTTGCAACACATTAAGCCGTTTTGACGGTATCGCATAAATGTAGTAAAATATGTAAATATAATCGTTTATTTTTACTATTATAATTTATTTATTATTATTATTATTATTATTATTATCATTACACGGAATCTATTATAATAATTTGATGAGAATACCGAAACGGTTTGGAGATTTATTATGAACCCCCCCGATTCAAAACTTTATGCAATACGATATTTTTTACATCATCTGCAATTTTGAATTTTATTTTTCGCTAGCGCTTTTGGTTTTGAAAAAATTACGTTTACCATGGAAAACTATTTTTTTTAAATGTAACCATAAAATATAAAAACAATTTTTTTTCTTTCGATTTGTGTAACCATTCTAATGGTTTGAATGCTTTTTTCGGTGCATTTAAATGAAAACCCAAATCACATTCCTACTTACAATAGGAGAGGTCATGCGACACAAAACCAAACAAGCGCACTCCATCACGCAAGCACACCATCACACAAGCACTCAAACACGCAAACACAAACACACAAACACACACGTACCTGCAACATGTGAGGGTCCCTCCAGACGGGTATATTGTTGAACGTAGACGGCGGCGTCTGATGTTGTTCGTTGGGCGGCGATACGGCGGACGCGTGGTCGTCGGAACCGCTGAACGCGCTCGAATGGGACCCAGACCGTTCGTCGCCCGAATTGAGCGTGCGCGACGAACTGAGACCCGAGTCAGACCGGTCAGCGGCCTCGGGGTACGGCGTGGCCACGGCGGCCGTGGCGTGCAGCGCGTTGTTGGACGAGGGCGGCTGAAGCTTTGACTGAAACGACGTCGAGTTGACAACGGTTGCGGTAGCCGTGGTAGTGGTGGCCGCGGCGGCGGCGGCGGCGGCGGCAGGGTTGACAGACGCGCCGCTGTTAGCCACTACGGCCGGATACTGATGATGACGGTTCCGGTATTGTTGATACTTTTGCTGCTGCTGCTGCTGCTGCAGCATTTGATGGTGGCGTAACTGATTATGTCGTTGTTGTTGCTGTTGCTGCTGATGCTGCTGCTGTTGCTGTTGCTGCTGATACTGTTGTCGTTGCTGATGCTGCTGCTGCTGCTGTTGATGATGAAGTTGCTGCTGCTGCTGATGTTGATGATGGAGTTGTTGTGACTGTTGTGGATGCCGTTGTTGTTGTTGTTGTTGCTGCAGCTGTTGTTGATGCATGTGTAGCTGTTGTTGTTGATGCTGCTGCTGTTGTTGATGATGGTGTTGCTGCTGTAGCTGCGGCTGCGGCTGCTGGAAATGGTGCAAAGGCGGCGGCAGCGGAGGTGGCGGCGGCGGAGGTATCCTTTTGGTTTTGTCACCGTTAGCGGTGGCTTCGTCCGTACCGCCGCCCCCACTTGTGCCCCTAACGCCGCCCAAATTTTCGTCCATGTAACTCGGCTGTGCCCAGTGCACCTTTCCATAAGCATTATCGACGGGACCTACCCACGCCAAAGGTTGTCCGTGCCCTGACGTCTTTGCACGATTCGTCTACACTTTGCCCTAGCCGAATTTGCCGATGGCACGACGCACTGCGAACAACATCACCACACATCGATATTCAATTACATACATTTGTCTCAAAATATTGTAATATTATTGCAAGTACGTTATAAACGACGCACAGTAACGTACAAAGTATATTAGGTACCATATCTAATCCAATTATTAAATAATGATGCGCGACAAGTTGGGTTCTAGTCGGCGATCAAAACGTATACACATTATCTAAGTGGGTCACCTAACCCACCTTGGTACTTAGATATATTATATATTTTAATCGGATAAAAATATAAATACATATGTTTTCCATTCGTCCTCGTCTCGACTTAAGTATTATATTGTATAGATCTTTCGGGACCTTTCTTTACATTTCGGGATTCTGTTAGTTTTTAATTAAAAATCCTGTTTTAGTCCTTTTAGCGGTCTTTATATACCAAGACTGATGTACCCGCGTATGAGATTCATCCCGAGAGTTATTGACTCTATACAGTAGAACAAAAATAATACTTAATATATATACATACCGATGTACACGAATAAACCTTTTAAAGTATTAAATTACAGTTCATATAGAATTTTTCATATAATACTCAAACGATGACATATTATATGCCACCCATAAAGTGTATGGTCACGGGCCCGAAATCATTCTGTTATTATTATTACCATGGTTATTATGAAAGACGTTCGTCGGTATCCGCTAATACTTCAATAAAATTACACAAAAATATGTACTTAAATGATTTCGACCCTATCATAAATATTTCTTTTGTTTTTTTCGTGGTTCCTGAGACAAAAACCAACATAAAATAATAATTAGTAAATACAATATAAATTGGATACACAAAAATGTGTACTTAAATGATTTCCACTCTATCATAAATATTTCTTTTACTTTTTTTGTGGTTCCTGAGACAAAAACCAACATAAAATAATAATTAGTAATACCATATAAATTGGATTCAATCGTAATCTTACGACTCGTCTCCACATATTCCTACATCTGCAAGTCGTTTCCTGGATAATTATATAATTGAACAGAAATACTTTTTGTATTAGGCATATTATGGTGTTAAATGTATATGGGTGTTTTTAGGACACTTAAGGGGGTATGTGCAATGATAATAAATGAATATTAATCATCCTAAAAAAGATTTTGAGCTGTTATTTTTTTTTTAGTGAGAAATTTAGAAATCCCAAAGGTCCAAGATCTTTGTATACTAATACATTTTTAGTACCTTAAATGTTGGGTATGGTGGAAAATCCACTTTACTAATTAAACTTATTCCAGTAATTTAAAGTATTAGTTTTTATCATACTTATACTTATTTGCATTGTCTCTATAATAAAATACGTCATAATATGTAGTTGCGCTAAAAATGTAAAACAAAACTGTACAGTAATTAGTATGAAATCTCCGTTTACTTAAAACAGTTAAGACATTCGCAGAAATTATTAAATATGCTAAAGAACCGTGATATAAGGTCATTACACCAGTTGCATTATAATAATGTAGACACGATAAACATAATACTAAAATAATATATTATGTATAATATTATGATAATATTTTCTGACGTTTACATAAACTATATATTACATTATATACAAGTACCTATACCACCTTAACAGCTGTTGTCATTATAATCGATTTGAGTTTAATAATTTTTTTTTTTATTGATTTAAAACCCGGCAACTATGGCCTTTAAATGAAAATATTATACATAGGTACAGTCAACAGGCGTACAGCCATAAATATATATATTCACCGTAAAGTACAGAAAATTATATTTTGTCAGTATAGTTAAGACTTATAACGAGCGAACACATAAATACAAAGCGAAATGAAATTTATAATGCCTGATTATTATAATAGTGTTCGAGCCATTGTATAAACCTGCACAATGTCTTAAACAGACATATTTGAATATTGTCTGACTCGGCGTTCAACACGCGCATTAAAGAAATAAATTCAAACACAAATTTATAACTAAACCAACTGTTAATATCATTACGTTATTACATATTTAATACATTAAAACGTTAAGCTGTATTAATTGCGAACGAATATATAATATAATATAATATAATATTAATTAAGCAGGTTTTTTGTACAACAATTTAAATGTACCTACCTATTTAAAATAAATGTTCAGTTACCGATTCCTAAACTAATAAATTAACAGTTCAGCTCATAAAGTTTATTAAACTCAAATATTATATACAAGAAATTCAAATTCCAAGTATCTATCTATACAATCACAACTTTACTTATAAGCATGTTATACCTATTGTTAAGATTATTACGGTGCAATAAATTTAAGAGGGGAATACGGTAAATATTGAATTCATCATAATTTTACTTTTAAGCCATTTTCGTGTAAAATAATAAACATTTTGTAATTTAAATATTGCAGATTATTTCACTAACAATTTCCAATTGAGTTACCTCACACATAATTAATATAGGTAATAGTTTATTTATTTAAACTCAACAATCGTACAACGATTAAAGAAAAATAACTGGAAATCAATAACCACCCATAAAAAAATCTGTGTGAACTTTTTAAGAAAATTATGTACAATAATTAAATGAAACTTTTCAATTACTTTAACTGCATACAAAATGTATTAAAAACCGTTTGAAATAAATAAATGTTCTGGAACACATTTGTGTTTTTAATTTTAACAATAAAACCACCAAATACATACTTTAGAAACAAATTTGATGCAGATGTTTCGTCCAATATATTATTATATGTCGTGTGAATGAAAATCTCTTCCAATGATAAATAAAAACAACTCAGTGATACAATTAATTCAACGAATGTGGCAATTAATTTGTAATTACTGCACTACATAACGATATCGGTAATAACTATAATAAGTGTATAATATGATAAAAACTCTGAACAGTTTTAAATCCTAAAAAGAGGTTGTCATATGACTGTTTTTTTTTTTTACTTGGGCATGATATTTTAAAACACTGCACCGAATTTTAGGTAGGTACTTTCTGCGGGCTCCAGACTCGGTCTCCGCCGAGAACGTCAGAAGTAAACGGAGTAGTAAATTACACTACTCGACCACATAAAGTGAAATATTTATGGAACAGAGAATACGATAATTCACCACTCGAAACAGTTTTCGTTCAAAAACAAAGCTATTATTGTACATAATATGGATACGTTTGATGTGCGGGAAGAAATACCCTGCGGCAGCTTGGCGAACCGAATCCTGTGCCCTATGAAAACAGCGAACTCAGGGCGAATATAATATATTATATAACCTATATAGAATTAGGACGGTGTTTTTCTTCAACCGGAGCGAGGGTTGTTTACTCAGCCACCTGTTTGAGTCTCGTAAAAGGGCCATTGGCGTCGTTCAATATAATCTCCCCCCGGGCCACCGATCAGCACTCCTCCTTTCACACAGCCATTACAATAATATAAGTACAACTCACGACAGTCGTAGGGTTTATATATGGTTGTTTTCACCATATTGCTGGTATGACATATTCGTTGTGCGATTATGAGTCAGCAACATGCCAACATACGTTTTAATGGTTTACACTTGTGTGTGTGTGTGTGTGTGTGTGTGTGTGTGTATATATATATATAGACTTCAAAAATACATCCACGATGATGATCTAATCACGCTAATGATTAATAATGCCGGTTCTGTACAGTAAAAGTACAAATACACGAGTATAATTCCCCTTCGTAAAAAAAAAAATCTTTTTCAAAACAAAAACACACGATGATCACTTCTGACTTATGTAATTGGCTAAAAAGAAAAATAGATAATTACATTGGTTTTCAATCGCTGTAAGACCATTTTCAAATTCACAATAGGTATGCAATATAAATATATAATAATAGATGTACGTGATGAAGAATGGACCAGAGTTAACATACTGATCAACGCATTTTGAAACTAAACTACATATAAAGTTACGAAATAAGTAATTAATTACATAAAGTTAATCGGTAGTTTATTTAAATTATATAATATAGCTTCGATGTAATTCACATATAGTATATGAATACTGTAAGATGCATATAGGTTTAGCTGATAATACGTTTCTATATAAGCAAACTTTATTTTTTTTTTTTCAGAAAAAAATGATACCACAGAGTAAGTAAAACTTATTTTCTTATTTTATAGTACAATTTAATTTTATGCTGAATTTATTTTAAGCGATAACAGTAATTAAAATTATTATTTTTTTTTTTCATTATTTTAATTAATTCATTGGTTTACCACATTATGACATCACTGAAATATTCTAGATTTCAATTAATTTCAATGTTATATACAATCGAGTTCTTACAATTATACGTGATTTATCATAGTTAGGGTTCAGATTTTTGTGTTAGAAAAGTCAAGAAATATGAAGCCTATTATACTTTCTAAAAAACGAATGCGTTTTACTTGTATTCTCTAAAAAAAAATAGAAAAATATGCTTAAAAAGGTATAAAAATTTTAAAAACTTAAATAACATAATATGTAAGATTTGTAGGTAAACATTTTTATTTTAATTAAATTCATTATTATTTTTTTTTATATGTAACTTGCATAATATACCTACAAACATGCATCATAAATATTCTTTAAAATATTCTTAAATATGAATACAATTTATTTTCGAACTATGTGTTTAATGAGCGTTTTAATTTTTCAGTCCCATTACGCTACAAACAATGCGAAGATACGGTAAAAATATAGAAATCCTGACTTTTATTGATTTCTTTAAATAATATTAAACATCATATAATTTATTTCATATTATATCATACAACTCATTTCTCTGCTAGTTAGTTTCCATGGCAACGCCATTATTGTGTCTGGGAATATCTGCGAAATTATGATGTTTGTATTGAATGAGAAAACATCCAGTAAATGAAACTTGATAGACAAAGCCACTCAGTATAAAGATTCTCAATATATAATACGTATCAAACGATCCGCAAGTAACTACCATATTATGCATTACGATGACGCTGTGTTGATGCGAGATATCTTGACGGACAGTTGTTAACTTTT